CTGCTGTGATTTGGAAACAGTCCAAGAGATTTCCTTGATAGGCCAGTGTTTTGGCCGGATTTCTTCCGGTGACTCTTGTCCTCAGCGTTGGGACAGAGAGAGATATCAGGACAGCAGATAGGGAGAGAACTGGGATACAGATAGGCAATGTTGTGTCTAATGCTGGGACATTATATGTGTTTGATACATTTGTCTGTATCATAGCTGAATTCCTTTTGAAAGTGAGCATCATCAGTAACTGGTGCTGGTATACATTGTATGAAACCGTACGTCATCTGAATCAAAATATTACCTTGATATCATAGCAGCAGAATTCATGTCTATAGCAGTTAAGACTGTTGTGCTGAAACTTCTCAAAGATTTTTCAGATATTTAATTCAAATGTAGGCCTATTTAAATTTCTCTCTGTATGGTGTTTGTTAAAATCGATTACTTTTTAAGACGAGTTTTCTAGATCTGGAAAACTCATACATTTTTATAATGAATGTAGATTTTTCTATTTTCGCTCTGAAGTAAAGTATTCCATCATCTAGCTGTTGCTCTTGTCAAGAAGACTAAATTTGCTTGCATGTCATGAGATCTGATTTTTGAGTGAATTGTTTCCTTCAGCTTTTTTTTATTTTATTTTTTTTTTATGAATCAGGGATCACAAATCAGTCTGAATGACTCATTAGAACTGGTCTGAATCATAATGATTCTAAAACAATTTATTCAGTGATCACAATTGACTGTAAAGGACATGAAAATTAATTGGTCAAAAAGTGTGGCAACTGGGTTTACAATAGTCGGTTTACTTCCTGCAAGGCATCATGATATATACACTTTGCTAATGATGATTCAGTTCTTCTAGCTCTTTCACTGGTCAGCGGTCATTATAACCATATGCTAATGTCCAGTGAGTCAGCAGTCGAGCAGCACAATGAGCTGAATGCACCTAAAAAAAGAACAACTAGCCAAAGCAGTTCAGAGTGAGGTGGACAGTATGAGCAACTCTGTATCACGCACTGAGTCATTGTAAACTAAAGTGATGTTATATTTTTGTTTTAGGTGGAAATACTGTATTTTTTACATAACCAAGTAGGTTTTTTAGATTTTTTTCTTTGGAACAAGAAATAAGATTATTCATAATGCTGCACATTATCTTTATCACAGACTCAGAATATCAGTTTCAGGATAGATTTGTGCTTTGGGTTTAATGATTTTATTGTTTGGATAAATTGTTTTGAATTTGGATGATTTGAATTAAATTTCAGTAGCACACTGTGTCCTTCAGATGGCGCTGGTGTTTGGCTTTTTGCATACAAAAGGCCATGTATTTAGCCACTGGAAACCTGCGTGCTGTCAGCCTGTAATCTGCATTACAGTATCTGTTACTGTAGAACAATAAAGCGTATTAGGCTCTTAATTATGCCTGTTTACAGTTTACATATACAAGTTTCTCTCACATTTATTAATCACATAAGTTGCACAGTGTCTTTGCCTTACAGGGCTGTCACATTGTTACATTTGGTAGACGTGTTCCTAGAGAATCCAACCCATGAGCTTAATGTTGATATCGCAGTGCTCTATAGGAAAAGGAATCGTAATTTTTCAGATTCCAGTTAATTATTCTGTGATTCTTTCAGACCTTTTGAGACACCAAAAACAATCAGCTGCACCTCAAGAAGATCATTCAGTTTCTGCTGTTTTAATAAACAGCTGGTCTTTTTTGGGGGGTTAAATTCCTGTAATAAGGTCTGTGGTTACTAGAAGCTTACAGTATTTTCATGTTTTAGTGTATGTCATTTAATACTCCAGTAATCCCCCACTAGTGTTATTATTATTATTATTATTTTTGTAAGCTTGTGTCTTGAAAAAGGGTCTTGCTAATAACTGGCTAAATGGGACTACAGATGTTGTCTGAGACCGTAAACGTCGCACACCAAAACGGATAAGACAAGAAATTGACACAGCCATGATCACTAAATAAAACGGCTCATGCTATAAGAAGAAAGGCCTTTGAGGCAAGCATGCAAAATTAATTTATTATTTTTTATACACAGTACACAATAATTCAAGCATGCATTTTAAGAATGTGAAAGCATTATGTATATTACATAAGAAGATTTAAAGCTTTAGAGTTCCTGAAGGCATATTTATCAAAAGAAATTATTTTATTTTTTTTTTCAAAACTGTGGAATCCCTTTTCAGTTTAAACTAATTGTGGGAAAGTTGAGCAGTTGGATGCTCTCTCAAGTGCTTTAAAGGGCAGTGCTGTTAACACGCTCCGCTGGCAGAATAAAACTGTCTGCTTTGTTTATCTGAAGTGCAGACCAGTGGAGTTTTTCTTATTTCTGTCATTATTATTGGGATGCTTGGGGAATCCCTTAACTGATGCTTTTTAACTGACTAATTGTTTATATACACTAAGAGCATTAAATGCGTAGCATTAAGTTTTGTATCCTATTTAATGAACCAGTTTTATCTATCTTGCTTCATTCATCCCTTGTCTGGCTTTTGTCTGCTGACAGCTTAAGTGAGTTTATCCAAGCTGTGTGTGTATGTGTGTATGTGTGTATGTGTGTGTGTGTGTGTGTAATTAAATTTCAGTAGCACACTGTGTCCTTCAGATGGCGCTGGTGTTTGGCTTTTTGCATACAAAAGGCCATGTATTTAGCCACTGGAAACCTGCGTGCTGTCAGCCTGTAATCTGCATTACAGTATCTGTTACTGTAGAACAATAAAGCGTATTAGGCTCTTAATTATGCCTGTTTACAGTTTACATATACAAGTTTCTCTCACATTTATTAATCACATAAGTTGCACAGTGTCTTTGCCTTACAGGGCTGTCACATTGTTACATTTGGTAGACGTGTTCCTAGAGAATCCAACCCATGAGCTTAATGTTGATATCGCAGTGCTCTATAGGAAAAGGAATCGTAATTTTTCAGATTCCAGTTAATTATTCTGTGATTCTTTCAGACCTTTTGAGACACCAAAAACAATCAGCTGCACCTCAAGAAGATCATTCAGTTTCTGCTGTTTTAATAAACAGCTGGTCTTTTTTGGGGGGTTAAATTCCTGTAATAAGGTCTGTGGTTACTAGAAGCTTACAGTATTTTCATGTTTTAGTGTATGTCATTTAATACTCCAGTAATCCCCCACTAGTGTTATTATTATTATTATTATTTTTGTAAGCTTGTGTCTTGAAAAAGGGTCTTGCTAATAACTGGCTAAATGGGACTACAGATGTTGTCTGAGACCGTAAACGTCGCACACCAAAACGGATAAGACAAGAAATTGACACAGCCATGATCACTAAATAAAACGGCTCATGCTATAAGAAGAAAGGCCTTTGAGGCAAGCATGCAAAATTAATTTATTATTTTTTATACACAGTACACAATAATTCAAGCATGCATTTTAAGAATGTGAAAGCATTATGTATATTACATAAGAAGATTTAAAGCTTTAGAGTTCCTGAAGGCATATTTATCAAAAGAAATTATTTTATTTTTTTTTTCAAAACTGTGGAATCCCTTTTCAGTTTAAACTAATTGTGGGAAAGTTGAGCAGTTGGATGCTCTCTCAAGTGCTTTAAAGGGCAGTGCTGTTAACACGCTCCGCTGGCAGAATAAAACTGTCTGCTTTGTTTATCTGAAGTGCAGACCAGTGGAGTTTTTCTTATTTCTGTCATTATTATTGGGATGCTTGGGGAATCCCTTAACTGACGCTTTTTAACTGACTAATTGTTTATATACACTAAGAGCATTAAATGTGTAGCATTAAGTTTTGTATCCTATTTAATGAACCAGTTTTATCTATCTTGCTTCATTCGTCCCTTGTCTGGCTTTTGTCTGCTGACAGCTTAAGTGAGTTTATCCAAGCTGTGTGTGTGAGTGTGTGTGTGTGTGTGAGTGTGTGTGTGTGTGTGTGTCACTGCAAAACCTGGGTCTGACTGGCACTAAACACAGCCAGATTTGCTTTTCTGTCCTCCTCCATCTCAGTGCTCCATCTCTCCGATCCCAGACTCCAGATAACACGAGCCACATCATGTCCTGTGTGGAGAACTCCCTAATCCTGAGAGATTTAATGTAACAGCTTAACATGGAGTTCTTTTTGGTTTACTTTTTTTTTTTTTTTTTTTTTTTAAGGAAATAATGACAGTTTTTCAACTTTTGCACTGGAATGGCACTCTGAAGGCTTTTCGGGAGATGAAATGTAGCCGTCAGGTAAGAATTACTTTTTTTCTAATCTTTTCTGAATAAAATGTGAGTGGTGCTTTGCAAAGCTTTCCGCCAAGATGCTGTAGGTGTTGTAGGACATACACTAGCGTTCAAAAGTTTGGGGCTGATAGGATTTTTAAAAGTGTTTTTGAAAGAAGTTATTTGATTAATATACAATAAAATCAGTAACAGTGTTAAATATTACAGTTTAAAATAACTGTTTTCTATGTGAATATATAGTAAAATGTAATTTATTGCAAAATTTCTAATTTGTTTATTTTCACACTGTATGGATGATTTCATGCATTCACCCTGACACACCTGTTGATTTGAAAGTCATGAATTGTTCAGAAAAAGTCAATTTTGTTAGTCTCTCCACAGTAGATGTGAAGGTACAGCCTCATCTGATGACTTTATCTCATTCATTCCTAACGAATACACAAAGTGGCATCTTTGCTAAATGCAATATACTATTCACAACATGTAAAGTATGACTTTGCATATTCTCATTAGATGTTACTGGGCAGTAGACGTGACTGCGACTATACCAACCACATTACAACATTGCGTTGCTTAATTAAACTTCTCATCACCATAATCGTCTGGAATTTTTCATCCCGCTTTGGTTACGCCTAGCTGTTCAGCATCAGTGTAAGTATATACTGTGAACGGTCTTCATTTCACTCCCACACACGCGCGTCAATAATCAGCCTGTGTCACTATCTGTCTCACTCCCTGTAACCTGAGCCCTCTGTGATGTCACTTCCTGCCAGTCAAGCGCTCCACCTCAGCCCCTACTCGTGTTGCAGCCACTCTCAGGTTACACTGCGCCGTCTCATGCATTTTGGGAAATTAAGGTGTGTAGCAAGCTAAGGTCAAGACCCTAAAGCCCGGCTCCCATCTCGCGGCGGAAAAATCCGGCACCGGGAATGCGCGGCATCCCAGCCAGCTGACGTGCTTCAGACGAGCGGCGTATGTTATTTATGAAGTCAAGGCTACTGGGAGGGAGGGACCTTCAGGAGTTATTGACTCGGAGCGAGCGAGCCACCAAAACAGAAGTTGTGAAGCAAGAAGGAGAGACGAATGAACGGGTCGAGCGTGAGCTCCCACATCTAGGATTACAGAGAATAGTGGAACTGTGTTTGCCCTCCCTGCCGCGGGACAGGCAGAGGACGGGGTGCACGGGACGCAGGGGTGCAGGGCAAGATTATGGGACAGGGAGCCAGCACTCAGACTTTAAACCCGAACCCTGCCTATATAACAGGTGAGTCCCTTCGGAGAAGACATGGATTCCTGAGTATGAAGATGATGGGATGCATTTAACTGGCTTTCTCACGGTTTGTTTGAAAGCCAGACCTGTTTTGCTTCTTCCGCTGGAGGGAATCTGGTCTTCTTGCGTATGCGTACTCATGCCAAGTGTACTAGTCTGAGCGATCGCAGGTGTACGCTTATCGACGTGAAGGGAGGAGTAAGAGACAGGCATGGGCAGGTGGGGTGAATGCACGCTGTGGACATTCTCATGTTTCTGTCAAGCACGCTTCCTCTCGGGTGTGTAGCTCTCTATAGCAGCTTCTACATTGCTTCTTTTTAATCGTGTATGACCATGTGTTTGGTGCAGGAGTTGTGTGCAGTAGCGCTAAAGGAGAAAACCTGTTTGTGCTGTCTGTTGATTCAAGCTGACTCAAGTGGTTTCTTGTTGACGTCGTCTCCAGCTCTGAAAATCGCAACCCAACATGCAGCCTTGTCCTTCTTTTACTGCGTCAAAACACTGATAGAGGCTGCGGAGCTCATTCATAAAACGATTCATACCTAAATACATTGAAAGCATCAACTTCATCTTAACTTTACAGTGCGTTGAATGAGCTGGAAATAAAGTTTATTTTTATCTAATTTTTGATGGGACTGATGAGCTGTTATGCTGATTGATTTAAACTTATTCAGATCAGCTTTGCATCAAAGAAATTAATTATATTTTAACATTCATTCAAATAGAAAACAGTTGTTTTAAATTGTGATGATATTATGACTGTTTTACTGTATTTTCAATCAAATGAAAACACCCTTGGTGAGCAGATGTTTTTTTTTATAGGGCTCAAATAAGCAGCAGTTGTTCTGGTGCAGCAGCACTAGTGCATACTGTTACACACACACACACACACACACACACTGTACATCCCTCAGTTTCAGACAAGCACCTTCTGATGGCTTATGTTGTTTTAAGGTGTTGCCGTGAATCTTCTGTTTGTTCTCTGTCAAACGGCATCACATGCCATACTCTTTTCTCACTTAACGTTTGATCATTGTAGTAGCGCGATCAGTTCTTCCATTGACTCTTGACCTCTGTGTTTATTTACACACACAGTGTCCTCGACGTCTGTGTGTGATGTCCTCTACCATTATCATAGCTGTACGTTACACTCAGTGAGTTCAGGCCGTCGACTCTGATCCAAATCTCACGTATGTCACTGATATGAGAGGAATGCGCAGCCTTCCTGAAACAAAGAGCTCATTGAGGCTGAAGCAGTGCTTTGTAGAAACATTGATTGAGGTTGTGTGTGTGTGTCAGGTGAAGATCAGTGCCTGGTGTTGTTGTGGCCTGTGCTTTGAAAGCGTTACGTTCACTTTCATTACTTTATTATTCTGTTTTATCAAGGTTGTGGTGTCATGACAATGAGCCACCTTGTTTTCTCTTGTCACTGTGCCCTTCTTTTTTCCAAACAACGGGACAGTAGACCAAGTAGACCTAATTGGCAGACACTTAATGGGTAATGTGTAGGACTTTGTAAATGAAGGTGTATAAGAGTCTGTTTTTGGATGCCATGTCATTGACCAGTCAGAAGTGAGCTTTCATCATATAATTGATGTACATTTTCACAGAATTTTCATAAAACAATATACGATTTCACAGTCACAGCTAGATTTTAATTGGAGGAGTTTGTAGTTTTTGACTTGAGGGTGTTTTTGTATATCTTCTTTATAGGTTTTTCCACATGTGTAAAGTGTTTTTGTTGGAAAAATCCCATTTTTGAGTGAAGTAAACTAGGTCTGTGTGCTGTCAAACCCTTGCCAGATCAGTTAAGAGCATCTAGGCCAACGGAGCTGCCAAAACCCATAAACATTCCAAAGCGCCCCGTGTGTCATACACAACCTGCCTTGTCTTGTGTCTTCAGACCAGTTTAACGGTCTCTGTCTCGCTATTCATGCTAAATAGACATCATTTGCACAGTGAATAGCACAGCCTTCTTTTTCCTATGTCACAACATCCTAGCATTTGTTCAAACAAGGGAAAAATGGCATGTACTGTGGAATCTATGGAGCAAGCAAAGAGGAATCAAGAACTGTTTTTTTGTATTTAGCATCTAGTAGTAACGTTTTTGTATCTAGTTATGCTTAATTTTACAATTTACTATCCAAATTCAGTCCCATGCAAAACATGCTGGGTACTAATTCCTTGTCCAGTTATGTTGACAAAAATTGTTTATGTAGTCCAAAACAAACCGATTAAGTTAACTTTAATTTGATAGATTTAAGCGGATTAAACTTAATTAAATTAAGCCCAGACATGACGGCAAGTTGAAAGAAGTTGTGATATTGTGGCCACAAATTGGCCTAAAACAAGGAAACACATTACTATAATGAGCCACAAATGAATTAGTATTATTAATTATTATGTTCAGGGCTCTGTATGAATCAGTATGATTTAGTAGGAACTCTGACCCAACGAATGAAACGAGTCTGAAAACTGCTAATATCTTGCAACTATATTTCTGAAATTGTTTTATCAGTTATCCTGATGCAATGCTGAACTCCCTTTACTGTTGCTGTTTAGAAACTAAAGGTCTAAAGACCATTATTTTATTTTATCGACCTTAACTTGTATTCAGCTCTCTGTTTTACCATAATAGCTAATCATGTTAACCCAACATCAGTTAACAGGATCTGTGGTTAGTGTTGATCTGTATATGCTGGTTAAATCTGCACTGTCACCAGCTGATTGTCTGAAATGCACATGAAAGGGTTGCACCTCTCAGATTCCTGCGGGATGTCGTGAAACACTGTGAAACTGGCCTGGTGGCTTGATGTGCCATGATTAGGTCTAGTTATGGTATTATTATTTTTTACTGAATCATATCTTTATACAGTCCATAATGTAACCTGTGCTTATGAATACAGGTAGAGGGTTTAGTAGCAACGAGATTTGTGAACCTCAGCTGGGTGTCACTGTGTGTAAACTTTTGGCGGTTTGTAAATCACACTGAGCTCATGGCTTGTTTGAGTAAGAGTTTCAGTATCCATATAACTGTCCTGAATCAAACCCACTGTTGTTACGTGACTCATGAGGCTGTTGAAAGAGTTGTAATTGTTTTGTCATTCCATTTAAGCAAAATATTGCACTGTTATCCGACTATAAATGTTTAGACAATTATAGTTACTGTGGCAAGTATGTACTGAGTCTTATCTTAAGAAACCGAGTCTGCTTTCTTTTTCTCTCGCTGTGAATGTGTAGCAGTGAGGTGGGTGTGTTGTGTTACTCAGGTTTCTGAAGTGAGTCGCTAGTGTTGTTATTTTCACGTGTAACGTCTCACTGTTATTGAACACGTGCTTTGACCGTCATCATGCCTGGATGTCCTGTAGTCTGATTTGCATTGTTTGTTGAATTGTATCTAGAGTGTTCTTACACTCTAAAAAATGCTGGGTTAAATAGAACCCAGCGCTGGGTAAAATATGGACAAACCCAGCGATTGGGTTGTTTTCAACCAACAGTTGGGTTAAATGTTTAACCCAACCTTCTGGGTAGTAACCCAACCGCTGGGTCAAAACAACCCAATTGCTGGGTTTGTCCCTATTTTATCCAGCGCTGGGTTGTATTTAACCCAGCATTTTTTAGAGTGTACACTCTTAGATTGGATATATGGCAGGGTTCATTATGAAAATATTGTCACGTAACACAAAAATAATCCATGAGAGGCTTTGTGTTGCAGTAATTGTACATGCACCACACAAAGAGCTATTAGCTTAATTCATTATGGTGTTGTTTGCAGATTCTGACTAGGACACTCTAAAAAATGCTGGGTTAAATACAACCCAGTGCTGGGTAAAATATGGACAAACCCACCGATTGGGTTGTTTTTACACA